TGCATAGATTCAAGAGGAGTTAGATAGAGCCAGCTGGATGTGGTGGCTCCTGCCTACAGGCCCTGGCACTCTGGAGGTAGAGGGAAAATGTGGTTCAAGGCCAGCCTAGCCTACATAGTGAATTCCAGAATAGCCAGGACTGGAGAGTGAAATCTCCATTTTCTCAAGGTAAACAAACCAAATTGAGAACAACAGCAAAAAATCCAAGCCCTCTTTGTTGGTGAGTTTTTGTCAGTTTTACATAAGTATAGAGTCATCTAGGACAAAGAAGGAACCTCAACTGTGGAACTGTCTCCATCAGACTGTCCTGTAGGCAAGTCTGTGGGTCCTTTTCTTGACTATTGATATGGGTGGATCCAGACCATTGTGGGGGCTTGTTCTGGGTCATGAGAAGCAACCTAGTAAACAGCTTTCCTTCGTGGTTTCTGCTTCCTGGCTGGCTTGCCTCAATGATGGACCATGGCAGAGGTGTAAACCAAGTCAACCTCTTTCCAACTCCCAATTGCTTTTGGCCATGGTGTTTATCACAGCATCTGATAGCAAACTAGGAAACAAGAAAAAAAAGGAACCAAACCAAACAAAAACAAAAACAAAAAAAAACAAAAACAAAACAAAAAAAAAAAAAAAAACAAGACAAAAACTCTAGTTCTAGTCAGTCAGTTTGATGTGATGACAACACCTGTGTGGTACTCCTTTAGATAAACTTTGAGATTTGGGAGTGGAAATATCATGTCATAGCATTCCTGATCCCAGTAGGGGCAGATTTCACTTGGTGATAATATTTTTGGAGCTACTCTCATATGTGGAAGACAAGATTCCAATTTCTGCAGAAATGTTCCTATCTCCCTTTCCTACTACCACATCTGGTCCCAGCACGAGTTTAGATGCTTGCTATCAACGGCCATAGTCCTATCATCCAATAGAATGGTACTCCATTAGACAAAAGGGATTCTCTCATTGAAGATTTCCTTTATAGCCTGGTTCTGTTCCGCTATGTGCAGAAATGTGGCCCGTGGGTGGGCCTGATGCTGAACATCTTTGAAACCAGGTCAACTTGCAGCAATGAATGCCCCCCTGCCCTAAATCGCTTTAATCATTCCTCCTCTTCTCACACATTTATGGGCAAATAACTGCACAGTGCACACAATCCTCTGTCTCTGAGGCCTCCGGCCCCCTACCCATTTGCCAAGTTCTGCTTTCTTAGGTGCAGTCGGGCTTGACAAAGCTTATGCCATTGCTCACATAAAAGAAACAATGTACAGACAAACACCCCTTAATTCCAGGGATTCTGCCTGATGCTAGCAGCATTAACACTGCACTGCAAGCACCACAGTTGACTTTATCAAACTATAATGTTAGCAGGGGGCATGATCTTGGGAGACTTCTATATGCACCAATTCATTGATTGGTTATATAGTATAAACATGCCTAGAAACTACTTCAGATAACAAGTGGTTACAAATCTTGAGATAAATGGATCAGTTACATTGTCCCTGAAATTTTGGCAACACCAACTTTTATGCAGACTACTCCCTCTAATAATACAACCACTGACCTAATCACTGTTTTTCATAGAAAACAATCTAATCTTTGAGCAGACAGTGGCCAGAATAATTACCATCTCTGAGATGGTATTATGTGGTATTATTTCACTATTTATACTATTGTGTGGACTCTTTTATATTTTTTTAAGTTTTCTTTTTTAATTTCATCTCATATTCCAAGCACAGTTCTCCCTCCCACACCTCCTCCCACTCCATCTCTCCATAGTCACACCTATAGATAATTCCCAATTCTTAGACTCTATTCCAGTATGGCTAATGTTTATCATACCATCTCTGATCATATTTCAGGGATCTAATTCTAGAAAGTCATAGGACAGCAATGATCAAGCAAGGTAACAGTGATCCTTTGCATTGTTCCTAAAACAGAAATAAATTTCACTGGGATGACATTTTATATCGAAAATAAAAACCTTGTTTGGTCTCTGTGTTCTACTAGTAAAATAAACCAGTGAGAAATTTCACAGAGCTATCCTTAGAAGAATCAAAATGGACTTCAATTCTGCAACACAGTAAATAGTTATTACAGAATTTACTGTTGATTTTTTTTTTCTGAGACAATAGAATTCTACTTGGGGTACTTAAACTATTATCAGAACAAAATGGAATGTTTGTGACTTTGTAAGGTTGCCAACTTAGCAAAAATAAATAAATAAATAAAACTACATGAATTTTTCTGTGATTTCTTTGTTTCATTTGGCAGCTGGCCTCTGTGTAATTTATATGCTATGGTTGCATATACACAGAGTGATTTTCTTAATTGATCACTCATATTTCTCTAGCCATATGCCTGTCATTAGAGTGTGTGAATTTTTGTCTATAAATCCATTGTTCCTAGTTCAGCACTTTTAATTATGCCAATGAACCATGTAAAACATTATAAGCCGTGAAGAGTGTACGAAGATAAGAAAGACTTGTAAAACTGAAGGATTAGAAATCATATTGTATGGACAGTTTAATCTTGTCCACTAGTCTGGTTCTACCAACAAAATGTCATCAACAGAAACTGGAATCAATGATTGAATTTCCCAAAAACCTTATATCAGTTCCAGATTTGTAAACGATAACACATGTGATCTTACCTAAAAAAGCCCCACAGTCACAAGTAGATATGGTTCAAAATGAAGGATAAAATAACACAGCAAAAACACTCTTAAAGCAACAGTACAACAATCTACAGTTCTAACACTATGCAGTCATTCTTACATTTTTATATCAGTAAGAAGAGGCAACAAGATATACTTCCAATATTACTGTGACACTTTTATGTCATTGAGAATAAGTACGTAGGACATAATTGATCCCTTTAACCTTCTGCATATGACATTGTTTTGTTTTTTAACAACAAAAGAATTATCTTTGTGCAGTTTGATGACAGTCATTGTCCTCTCCAAAAAAGTTATACTAGTTCCCAACCTACAGCACACATTTACATTTTTTTCTATTTCTATTGCATTTCAGAACCCTAACTCATATTTTACTATTCCCTTGGCCCAAGGATAGGAAATAAAATGAAATTCAAGTTGGTTTCACAGACAATAAACATACCTTATGAATCTGAAAAAAAAAAAAAAACTGTTGGAAGCAGCCAATGTTCAATGACTATATATTTTAGAAGAATTTCCTGTAAGATATTTTTACAATGAAAGCCATAGTCTAGAGCTATTCAGTGCCCTTAGTTTGAGAATTTTGCTTTCTTTCATGAGATAACCATTTTTAAAAGGCTAGGTTATAGTTCTGGAACCATTTCAGCAGGAAAACGAGCTAAATGCCATGAATCTTGGAATAAAAAAAAAAAAACAAAAACAAAACAAAAAACACACACATATGAAACAGAGGTATTAATAAATTACTAAACAAATTTCTGGCATTATCAATTGTATAAGATTTTATATATTCCAACTTAATCCTGTTTTCCGTATCTAAGTCTTTAAACCCTTAACAGCTTTGTCTAAGCATGAGAAAGATAGATCACCAAGTAAATGTGGTTGCTACAAATACTGATGACCTAGGGTCTGTCCCCTAGATCCACATGGTAGGAGGAGAGAACCAGCCCGTGAAAGTTGCCCTCTGACTTCCACATGTGTGTTATGGCATGGACATGTGTATGTGTACACACACACACACACATACACACACGTAAAAAAAAACAATAAAAAGCATTAGCATATGTGTTAAATTAAATTGCAATGTAATGACCCCTGATGTTCTATGTACTCAATGTATTTAATTTCTAATAGGGCTTTCTCCTATATGAGTGACTAAGGACTCAGTCTCTTCAAGCATCAGCCATAGTATTGCAGCAGTGCTGCTCACACTGCTCATATAATTTGCATATTTATAAAACTACAGCCAGATGGATGAATGTAAATATTAATGTGTATACATCATATCTAGGAACAATACTTCAGGGTTACATACTTGGTATGCAATTCACACATACAGCTAAATATGCATTAACCACATTTAAAAAACAGAATAATTTGTAATTTGTGGATTCATTAATTTATCAATACATGCAAGGACATGTTTATTCACTATATTTTGCACCAACTACAAACATTGGTATCCTAATCTCTCTCTCCACTATTCTCTCCTGTTTCTCTTTGAAAACTGTAGCTCTCATCGTGATTGCTTGCTTAAATTAAGTTGTACTACACTGTCAGAAAAATGATACAGATTAACTGATGTCCTTATATATCAGCCCATCTAGTTGTATTTGATGGGTATGCAACTGGGCAACTCTATCACCATATAGCTTGTGCACTATATCTGCAGTACAAGCCTAGATGAGCTACTAAAAAGACAGAACATCTGTAGCAGTGATTCTCAACTCTCCTTCCAAATGTTGAAACCCTTAATGTTTCATGTTGTGGTGACCCCAATTGTAAAAGTATTTTTGCTACTACTTTATAATTGTAAATTTGCGATTGTTGTGAATTGAAATGTAAATATCTGTTTTCTGATGGTCTTAGGCCACCATTATGAAAGAGTTGTTTGACCCTCAAAAGTGTCCTGACCTACATGTTGAGAACTACTGATCTCTAGTGATACTAATAATGATGAGTGAGTGCAATGCATTAATGGCACACCTGGAAAACAAGTACTGTGACTAACATCTATCCTAAAGAAGCATTCATGTAAGAATAGGAATGGTAAGTGAGTGGGAAGAAAGGCTTCATTTAGTTAGAGTAGATCATCTTGTTCTGGATACTAATCTTATATAAACATATTTACTTGAAAAGGACACAAAAGGGGACTATCCTACTGAAAATTTTAAACTCTTGCATCATTAAGCTATTAGTTCAGCATTCTTATATTTTTGAATATTCTATTCTGTATATATAAATCTCTTTGGAAGACACAGTCAATTTTGTTTCTATATGCACAGAACCAGACATTTCTGGAATGCACAGTGAGATGTACATTTTCACTTACCTTTTCTGCTGACTGTGCAGTGCCAAAAAATATAGGGATGAAGGCAAGCCATACAATACACGTGGTATACATAGTGAATCCAATGGGCTTGGCTTCATTAAAATTCTCTGGTACACCCCGAGTTTTGATGGCATACACAGTACATGTGACCATGAGAAGAATGCTATATCCCAAAGAGCAAATGATTTGAAGGTCTGTGATGTCACATTTGAGAACTCCCCTGGCTTGCTCTGGGTTCATTGTCTTGTGTTCATCATAGTCTATGATGATGTTGGGTGGGTCAACCCCAAACCAAATGAAGACACCTAGAAGCTGCACTGATATTAAGCTGGAAGTGATCGCCAGTTGTGATGTTGGGCTAATGAGTCTGGGAGCTGTCACTGATTTCTTGCCCTGCTCAAATATGCGATAAATTCGGTTGGTTTTTGTTAAAAGGGCTGCATAACTGATGCACATGCCCAAGCCCAAGAATACACGCCGGAAAGAACACACTGCCACATCTGGTTTGGCAATCATTAAGAAGGTTATGATGTAGCAGAGAAAGATGCCAGTCAATAAAACGTAGCTGAGTTCTCGCCCAGAAGCCCGGACAATAGGTGTGTCATTGTAGCGGATGAAAGTGGCCATGACAAAGATGGTGGCAATGATCCCCAACATTGCCAGGAAGACAGGAATGACAGCCCAGGGAGAGTGCCACTCCAGTTTGATGATGGGGATGTTCTGACAGCCAGTTCGATTCTCATTGGGCCTCTGGTCATAGGGACAATGTTGACATGTCATCTCGTCAAACTGATATTGGTATCCGTCACAGGGCTCACAGGTCCAGCAACAAGGGGTTCCCTTCTGTGTCTTCTTCCTCTGTCCAGGTTTGCAAGGCAATGTGCATACAGAGGATGGGATCTCCCGAACTCCTTTGCCCCATTGCATGTCTTCTATCTGTGTATAGAATAAGAAATGAGAGAAAACAGGCAGGTCATTTACATTAGAGTCATAAAAAAGCATGAATGACAAAAAGTGCCAACATTACTGCAGCTAACAGTAGCACAGGGAACTCTCCAGAGCAGCTGAACAGAAATACATGGACATATGATCAACTGTGCCTCCCCTGTAGAGATATGGAAATGATATGGCTGGGCAGAGAGAGGAAATGGTAAGTTGGGAGGAGACAGGAATTCAATTTCTTTTCAGTCTGAGGATTTCATAGAGATAGGAGCTCTAGGTGTTGGCTGCTTTGCTTTTCTGATCTTTCTGCTTTCACCCCCTAATATCTGAATATCTGACTCTGGATTTTTATTATGAAGACCAAATACAATTCGTGCAATACTTCCCCAGGTGAGTACAAAGTCTCAAGTTGAAGGAGAGGCGCTCAAAACCAACAGTAATACCAAAACACACCTTATTTCTCAAAATAGGTGTTCACACACACACACATGTACACACACACACACACACACACAAACAGACACACACACACGGGGGGGGGGAGAGTAAGAAAGAGAGAGAGAGAGAAACTTAATATAATTTTAGATAACACTGTAGTGCTTACCACTTCCCTGCAGGATTTTACAGAGACTTTCACAGTCCCTCAGATAATGGCCCTGGTCATTGAGGGATGCTGGGACAGACAGATGCACCTGGTTTCTTACCATAGATCAGCAATAGTGCTCATTGTTTCAGGCTTCATGGGCAACATCACAGCATGCAAGAAGTAATATGTAAGGAAATGTAAGGATTGAGTGGTATGGAAACATTTAAAGGTTTGCCAACCATCTCTCTAAAGGCAAAATTAAAACCAAATCTCTGTGGTACCACAGAGACTGGAAAGTATTGGCTGCATTGGAATATTGGCTTCTGGGGAAGTCAGTTGTGTTCTGGGAAACACTAAGGAGAACTTTGTTACTGAACTAGATGCTACTGGCACTGGCATTTTCCCTCACGACCAGCACTTTATCTACCTTTCTTTCTTGCTATGGGTTCCTCTCATCCCTTCTCTACCCCCACGGGAACTGTAATTTGCACACAGATGCTGAGGGGTGCATACATGATTCAGGTCTGGCCAGACAGTACACCATAGCTCTTCCCTAGCTTGAACATGTGTTTGGTTCACTTGGAGGGAATTCAGTAAGTCTTGCTGAGATCTATTTCCAGATTTTTCTCATTCATACAGTCTGGAACAGGGCCTGAGAATGTACCTCTTTAACAAGAAGAACCCAAGTGACAGTGCTCAGGCCTGCTTAGCGACCGCTCTTGTCAACTGTCACATCAAACTCCAAGCCATGAGATCCCTGTGTCATATCAGATAATTTAGTTTCAGTTCATTACCTGAGATTGCAGGAAATAAAATTATTGGCCTTGTTGGACAGTGCTTGTGGCTACAGGAATGAATGTGCTAGAAAAATAAGCCAACAGAGAGAGATCAGAGCAGAGGGTTCTCTCTAAGCTCTTGCATAGAGTAGCGCCTGTAGTAGACATTGCTTTAGACAATGTCATGGTGTGAGATAGTTATTTTCTCCTGGTACATCATCTATGTTACCTCAGAAGAATTTGTACTTCTGTTGCCTGTAACTAGAGCTTGAGAACGGGATGCTATAACCACATAGTTTTGGTAGAAACAGGCTTACAAAGATAAACAGTCTGTTAATTATTTTATAAATAAATCCCATCAAAGAGATATGGCTGATTTTGTCTAACTGAATTTTTCATATTGACCTAATTAGAATTTTAATATAATTGCACCAAAGATAGATTAGAAAGATGCTAGAAACTTCAAAACATTTAAGATCTATTTTTGGGAGGTAGGAGAAACAGGAAATATAACTTTATCAGTCAGTGGAATTTTGATGCTGTTAATGTGGGATGCAGCATAGAGCAGGAAGCTGGCTCCCATCAACATTTGTATCTGAGCAGCATTCACACTTTGAACCAAAAGACCTTGTTGTGGGTTAATTGCACTCTGTGTAAAGATGTATTGCTGTGATTGGTGTAATAAAAAAATTGAACAGCCAATAGCTAGGCAGGAGGTATGAGGGGACTTCAGGCAGAGAGAGAACTCTGGGAAGAAGAAAGGTAAGATTCACCAGTGAGACACAGAGAGGAAACAGGAGGCGAGGGTTGGAAGAAAGGTAAAGCCACATGGCAGAATGTAGATTACTATAAATGAGTTCACTTAAGTTTTAAGAACTAGTGAGACAAGCCTAAGCTAAGACCAAGATTTCAAAATTAATAATAAGTCTACTTGTCATTACTTGTGAGCTGGGCCCCAAAGAAAAGTCTGACTCCAATACCTAACTCAATAAACAAACATGTGCAGCAAAATGTCAAAACATCCTTAACAAAAAGTTGGGTTTCAACTTGAACCAGAGATCCAAGAATGTTCTGAGGTCTTTCATGTGAATTCATTTGTCTGAGAATAAAACCCAAGTCAGCACTAATAAATCTAACTAAATATAAGCCATAATAAGTTCATTTGAAACAATATCTTTTTGAGGCAGTAAGTTATTGGCTGCCATCCCAAAGCCATAAAATTAAGGAAATAAAAATTGTAATAAGACAGAAAATGATAGGCAATAACTTTACAAGTGTCAGATTCTAAGAAGTAGGCACATTTAAATATTTTGCTATTATTAACACAAATGCTGTCCAATGTCAAATTAAAGGAGCCTAGTCATGGTCACTAGATATGATTAATGAACAAAACCAAAAAGTGAATTCTATGAGCTGAATTTGTGATTATCTGACTCCAACATTAACAGATATCATTACATTTTTATCAACAGGTATTAGTGTAGCACATGTATATACATTAAAGCAAATGATCAATACATATAATAATTTGCACTGATTCTAAACGTTATCTCCACACTGTGTTTTCCACTTGGAATAAAATAAAATGCTCAGAAATGCGGGAATTTTGTTAATTTTTTTCCTCAGTATGTCTAAATATACACAAGGGCTATAACCGCAGGCATTACATTGAGTGATTGCTTAATTTGTTTTCAAATTTCATTTAAAGTCAATTTCAACTCTGTTTAATTATATATATTAAAACAACAGAGTTACCTCTTGCTTCAAATGAACAGAAGTCTAAATTTACTCCCTAGGCTACTAAATAACATGATTGAAAATATTATCCTATGACAGTAGCAAGTGCCCCAGTTTTCTAGGAAATGAGATGCATATGGTTTGGCTGTGCCTACTGCCACCTATACAGATATAGCAGTTCATTTTCTAACAAGTACTCATAGCTACAAACGCCCATGGGTAACTATTAGAGAAATGTGGTGCTAAAGCCAGGAATTTGCAAGGATGACCCCAGCTAAGACTCCTAGAAATAGTAGGGAGGGTACTGTAACTGGCCTTCTCATCTAATCAGATTTTTGACTGCCCTAATTGTCATTACTGAACCTCTATCCAGTAACTGAAGGAAGCAGATGCAGGGAAACCCACAGAGACAGCTGACCTGAGCTCCTGCGAACTCATGGAATCTGGACCAACAGGCTGGGGAGCCTGCATGGGACTGAACTAGGCCCTCTATATGTGGTTGACAGTTGTGTGGCTTGGTCTCTTTGTCAAGCCCCTTGCAGTGGGACCAGAATCTATCCCTGGCATATGATCTGGCTTTTTGGAGTGACTTTGCTATGGTGGGATGCCTTGCTTGGCTTTGATGCAAGAGGAGGGGCTTGGTCCTGCCTCAACTTGAGATGCCAGGCTTTGTTCCCTCTCCAAGGGATGGTTTTCCTTTTCTGAGGAGTGGATAGGGGGAGGTACAGGGAGCAGGAGGAGGAGAGGGAGGGGGAACACTATTGGTAGTCTGCAAAATGAATGGAAACTTTAAGAGAGAAAATCAAAATGCTAGTCATTTTTAGTTATCAAAAGAAAATCAATATGACACCAATCTTGTTTGCAAAATTGACAATAAGTTTGTGAACCAGTTTCAGTTTCCTTTGAACTCTGCAACAGGACAGTTTTCAGTTGGATGGGAAGGCAAATTTTAGCTATGAAAAGACTGGGTAAAAGACAGAGATGTATAACATCTTACTTAGAAAATATGGGCTTAAATTTTCCTCCTGGACAACTAAAGGTTGTGATCATTTGACACCTCATCTGCTCAGGAGCTGGCTCACTGAGGTGTTGAGATCTTCCTTCTAGGCAAGACAAAAAGAACTTCACCTCTGGTGTTAATACTTAACACAAGTCATGGTGCACAGATTGTAGGCTGGCTGGATTAACTAGTAAGAAAAGAATCTGATATGTGGGTCTTGAAGTAAGAACAAGGCTATAGCCATGGAACTTTGACATGTGTCCACATGATGCTTGGAAATATCATTGCCACTTTGAGACCATGGAAAGAGGATCCCAAAGAAGGTAGCTCATACACTCAGGATCTGACATGCAATGCAGAAGGATGTTAATGATGGCCATTTCATTTTGCAAAGATCATCCATTTCAACAGTTCTTAAAGCTATAGGAATTTACTTTCCAGAACTAAAGTACGTTGGTTTTTTTCTACATTTTTTTTTCCATTTCACATTCACATTCAGTGACAGTAAGTCCTTTGGGCTACTCATATCGTGTGGCAAAAACATTCCTTGCTTCTTCTGAGACATGTAGGAGAATCCTTCACACTGCCATGTGAGCTTGCCTTTTGTCAGGGGCCCTGCCATGTTGTCGTCTGAATGTTTATGGCATTAATGATTTTTCTGATAAATCTCTTCTCAAAAAGGACAACTAAGTTCAGTCTCTTGAACATCAACCCTGAAATTTTCCAAAGGCAGTGGGATGGTGAGTTTCATCACAATCAGGCAGATGTAAAGAACTATGTATGCATGGCATAATTATGCCACCCAGATCCACCTATATTCTTCCTTGAAACCTAGAACATGAAACAACAACAATCTCTTCAAGGACAGTTTACAAACTGCGGTCCAACATTCAAA